ACACTTCCTACCACTGGAGTCCTTGGTCTTTCTTGACTAGATCCTCCCAACTGTGCCACATGCTCTCTAAAAAATTCAGCAACAGATTAGTATGAGCTTGCCAAGTACATCTGCTCTTGTGACCCAAACTTTGTTTTAAATCTGGATTTTCCCAGATTCGTGTTAAAATGACCCTTATCCCAGTGCACTTGCTACAATGATCAACCGCTCTGAGTAGAGTGACTACCTGATATAAAAGAGAAGCCACAGCTAGTTCTGAGATGGTAGCTGTCTTTTGATTGCCTGAATCATATAGGGTTGGTAGAACAAGAATGCATCTGGGTATGTAGGGAGCCAGAGTGGCTTCCCTCCAAACCAGAGGGTAAAGAGCCACCCTTGCAGCCTGAGTGGGCGGGGCCAGGCCAAGCTTCCGCCAATCCCAAGAAGGGGAAGGGTGGGACAGGAAGTACAAAGGGCGGGGCCCTCTGCCCAGTGAAGAGAGCACCAGGGAGGGAGACAGACACAGGCTGCTCCCTCGCGATCCTGCTGCTGACCCAGGCGAAACCCTGGGCAAGGAGGAGCCTGACCGGGAGGAAGGCCTGTGGCAACCAGGGCTGCCAGCCGCTGAACCAGACTTCGTCGAGGTGCTCCAATCCCTACCCACCAAAGAGGCGTTTGAGGGAGCCCCGCCTGAGAAGAAGACAGGACCTGACTCAAGCTCTGGCCCTGGAGCGGAACCAGGCCCCACCCCCGGGCAGGACGGCCGGGAAATGGCGGGTCCCCCTCCTGACCTGGTGGACTTTAGCCGAGATCAAAGGGAGGATCCTACGCTCCGGTTTGCCTATGAGCAGCTGGCCCGGGTGGATGGTGAGGTCGTGGAGGCGCAGCGCATCACCCAGTGGCCCAGGTTTGAACTCAACCACGAGAGGCTCTACCGTCTTGACCGAGACCCCCAGACCCAAGAGGTCCGGACCCAGCTCGTGGTCCCCCGCATCCATCGTTGGGCTGTCCTGAAGCTTGCACATGACATCCCGGCTGCCAGCCATTTAGGGCAGGAAAAAATGGCGGCCAGGGTCCTGGCCAGGTTCTTCTGGCCCGGCGTCCACCGTGAGGTGAAGGAGTATTGTGCGTCATGCCCGGACTGCCAATATGCAGCCCCGGCCGGGGTATGGAAGGCCCCCCTGGTCCCGTTACCAGTCGTAGGTGTGCCATTTGAGCGGGTAGCAATGGACCTGGTCGGGCCGTTCCCAAAAAGCAAGGCGGGCCATCAATACATCCTTGTCCTGATGGACTACAGCACCCGCTTCCCGGAGGCCATCCCCTTGAGAAGTATCACCGCCCGCACTATCGCTGCGGAGCTCGTGAAGATCTTCGCAAGGGTGGGCCTCCCACGGGAGATACTCACTGATCAAGGGACCAACTTCACATCTAAGCTGTTCCGCCAGGTATGTGCCCTATTGGGGATTAAGAAATTGCAGACCTCGGTCTACCATCCCCAGACTGACGGATTGGTCGAGCGGTTCAACCGGACCCTGAAGGGGATGTTGCGGTGTTTCCCCACCCAGGACCTCCGCCAGTGGGACCAGCTGCTCCCTCCTTTACTACTGGCGATTTGAGAAGTCCCACAGGCATCCACGAAGTTCTCCCCGTTCAAGCTCCTCTATGGGCGGCGACCCCGCGGGGTGTTGGACCTCTTGAGGGAGACTTGGGAACACAACCCGTCCACAACACAGGGTCTCTTGCAATATGTCTTACAACTGCAGGGGCGGCTGGCGCGGGCGGGCGAGCTCGTGAGGGAGAACTTAAACACCGCCGAAAGAGCCCAGGAGCAACACTACAATCGGGGCGCCCAGGCTTGATCATTCGGGCCAGGGGACCGAGTACTTCTCCTGCTCCCCTCGGAGGAATCAAAGCTTTTTGCCCACTGGCAGGGTCCGTATGAGGTCCTCCACCAGGTCGGGCCGGTAACTTATGAGATTCGGCAACCTGGTCACCGTAAGGAAAAGCAGATTTATCACGTAAACCTCTTAAAACCTTGGCAGGACCAGGAAGGGCTCCTAGTGGCCCCATATCCCCCCGAACCGGAACTGGGGCCCCAACCACCCGAGGAGTCGGATAATGGTGAACCCCAGCTAGCAGAGACACTCACCGTCGAGCAGCGAGAACAGGCCCTCTGCATTCCCCAAAACGTTCACCACAAAACCCGGGCGGACTACGCTCACCTACCATGTGATCCAGATGGAACCCGGGGTGGTGGTCCAAGAGACAACCCGGCCATTGCCTAGGTGAATGCAGGAGGCTGTAGAGGAGGAAGTACAGGCAATGTTGGAGCTGGGTGTTATTGAGCCCTCCCAGAGCGAGTGGCGGAGCCCCGTCGTCCTCATACCGAAGCCCGATGGGAGCCGGCGGTTTTGCATTGACTTCTGGAGGGTCAACGCCATCTCAAAATTTGACGCCTATCCGATGCCCCGCATCGATGAGCTCCTCGACTGGCTCGGGGAGGCCTGTTATATCACCACTTTAGATCTCACCAAAGGGTACTGGCAGATCCCCTTGGATCCCAGGTCCAAGGAGAAGACCGCGTTTGCCACCCCTTCAGGGTTATATCATTTCACCCGGATGCCTTTCGGCCTACATGGGGCCGCAGCAACCTTCCAGCGTTTGAAGGACCGGGTGTTGCAACTACACACGAAATACGCGGCGGCCTACCTGGATGATGTGGTCATCTATGGGAATAACTGGGAGGAACATCTTAACCAAGTAGCAGCAGTCCTCTGGGACCGCCGCGCAGCCAGGCTGATGGCCAACCCGAAAAAATGCCGAATCAGGCGGGAGGAAACCACTTACCTGGGGTACACCTTGGGCCGGGGACAGGTCCGCCCCCTCATCGGGAAGGTCCAAGCACTCCAGGAATGTCCGGTGCCGACCACGAAGAGGCAAGTACATCAATTTTTGGGCTTGGCTGGTTATTACCGGCGGTTTGTACCCCACTTCGCAAGCATTACGACCCCGCTAACGGAGCTCTTGACCAAGGACAGTTCCCGCCGGGTGCATTGGTCCAAGTGCGAGACGGCCTTTCAAACTATCAAAGACCGGCTGTGTAGTGATCCAATACTCTTCAGCCCCGACTTTCATCATGACTTTATTGACCAGACAGATGCCTCAAGCGTTGGACTTGGGGCGGTCCTCTCGCAGGAGGTGGACGAGGAGGAACACCCAATTGTTTACCTCAGTCAAAAGCTGTTCCCCAGAGAACGGAACTACTCCGTCGTGGAGAAAGAGGCCCTAGCCGTTAAGTGGGCAGTCGATTCTCTCCGCTACTACCTCCTCGGGGGCCCCCTTTATACTGGTTACGGACCACGCACCCCTGAAGTGGCTTAATAAGATGAAGGACAATAATGCCAGGCTGATGCGATGGTATCTCGCTCTGCAGCCCTATGCTTTCACGATTCACCATCGGGCGGGACGAGACAACACCAATGTGGATTTCCTATCCCACCTCGGAGAAGGTGAGGACGCCAGCTCCGAAGAGCGGGAGCTGGATTTGAGGGGTGGGGTATGTAGGGAGCCAGGGTGGCTCCCCTCTGAACCAGAGGGTAAAGAGCCACCCTTGCAGCCTGGGCGGGCGGGGCCAGGCCAAGCTTCCGCCAATCCCCGGAAGGGGAAGGGTGGGACACGAAGTACAAAGGGCGGGGCCCTCTGCCCAGTGAAGAGAGCACCAGGGAGGGAGACAGACACAGGCTGCTCCCTCGCGATCCTGCTGCTGACCCAGGCGAAGCCCTGGGCAAGGAGGAGCCTGACCGGGAGGAAGGCCTGTGGCAACCAGGGCTGCCAGCTGCTGAATACCCAGAGGACCTGGAGGGGCCTGATGGCAGCCCGGGCCAGCATGAGTCCGATACCGAGGGGGAACGGGGGTGGTCCACAGTGGAATACGCAGACGAGATGGAGGGACCAGAGCTGCCCGCAGCGGAATACCCAGAGGAGATGGTGGGACCGGAGCGACCTGCCTGAGGGACCGGGTAAGAAGTAGCCCAGGGGCCCAACTGCACCATGGGGTGGGTGTTTTTGGCAGCGGGCGTGGACGGCCCCGGTGACCCAGTGGCGGGACTTTCGCCTCCCGCCACTGCCAGGGCCCTGGGCTGGAACGCAGTGGAGTTGGGTGGGCCTGCGTTCTCCTACCCCGGTGCTCCCCTGCCTGAGGGGAGCACTACTGACTCGTGCCGGCACACCTTCCACGCTAATTCCCCAACGCCCGGAAGGTGTGGCTGAGGCCTGCCACGGAGACCATAGCTCTTCATCGCCCCTAGGGGCTCGGAGGACCGACACCTGTCACAGGGTATTTTTGTGGATTGTTGGTTTTAAAGCCAGACATATCCCGCTGGAGGAGATGTTTGTTTCCTGGGCAATTGCTGCTATTGGAAAGGTGAGATGTTGTTGCAACAGAGCACCAAATTTCTACTTTATCCTTTTCCTAGACATGTTCAGGTCCTGGAAAGGAAAGGCTAGAATACTAATGCAGAGAGTTCTCAAAATAAGGTTGTGTCTAGTTTCACTTGTGTCTCAGGACAGATTATGGGAATCTGTCCTCATTTAGGACTGAAAGCCTGTTCTCTTGTCCCCCTCCCCCCCCATAAAACACGATTGTATCTGTACTGAGGTTTTTTTCTATTTCATATGTTTTTGTACAATGGCAGGAAGTAAGGCCCTATCTTACAGGAACAGGTGACCCCAGCAGAAACGCCATCACTTCCCCCTTTCATAATTCTACTTCTGCCTTGATCTGAGGTTTAAAGTTGACCCCTCAATGATCAGTTATTAAGGGTGAAAGCTAAGGACAGCTCTGGTAAGCATATTGTTAAGTTTGGATGTTTTATGCCCGACTGATATTGAGTGCGGGTGGGGCTGCAGCCTGGGAAAGAAAAGGAATAAAACAATGGTAACATTTGCAAAGTGAACAGGAATTATCAACAGGACACAGTGTTCTGTACTATGACTAGCAGAGCCACTGCAAGGTCCGGTCTCAGTGTGCTGAGACATGTTTGTGCAGGGGAGGAGGAGATAGGGTTGAGTAACGAATAACGGAGAAGAGGGGGAAAAAATACCAAAACCCAAACAAACAAGTTATATAGCACGCAGCACGCAGACTGGAGTTATCTGCTGCTGGGAGCGGATGGATATTTTCCATTGGGCACGGAGCCATTATGGTGTTATTACAAGGGCTTTATGGCTGGAGGTATTGCAACGGAGGTCTGTAAGGTTGGTTTACTTATTTCCTTCATTTTTAAGTCAGGGAAGAATCCTGCAACATGTTCTGGTTGGAGGGGGGAGTTCTGGTGCTGTGGCTGGCAGTGGCAACAGATATTCTTTATAAAACGTTACTCTGAAGTGTAAAATATTTTACAGAGCTATGCGGGGGGAGGGGGAGAATATGAGGTGCAAAGTAGAAAAACCCCAAATGCTTTCATAGAGTTTTAATCACAGAACTGAAGAAAGAAATCCTAGAGCTGAACAGGGCAATAAGAAAGAGAGCAGAATGGACAAAGATAGATGGACAAAGCTCTCCATGGGGGCGGGATGGGGGGGGGGGCTCCACATACCAAAAAAAGAGGGGAGGGGAGAGGAAAGTCTTCAGCTTGCAGAAATTTAATTGGCTTTGGGGGAGGGTGTGAGAAGGGGAGTAGAACAACAACATCAAAAAAGCTCATTTATCTGAGTCTAGGGGCAAGGCGGGGGGTGGGGAGGAGCGAACACCAGCCTAGGTAACTTTGATGCTGCGCAAACCCCCCACCAATCCCCCTTCCTCAAAGAATCAAAACCCCAAGAGCTTTCAGACTGTTGCATTCAGAGAAATATTAAAATATTTCCGAGAAAGTTTAAATACCCTCCCTCTCTCCTTGGCAAAAAACTAAACTCTGAATAGTGCACAACGCCAAGTGACCCAAATGCAAGAAATAGGAAAAACAAAGCTGAGCCATGAAGTACAATCCCAAACTTTCCCAAAGTCTAGGGGTACTGCACACTCTAGCAGAACTACTCCTCCACAGGGCATATTTGGCCAGTGTCTCCCAGTGGGCGGTTTTCTAACACAAACTGAAAAGCAAAATAATAAAGGGCAGGTTGAAAAAACAGTTACGCTTTCCAGCTGTGGGAGGGCTTGATGATTTTAATGTACAAAGTGGTCAATTTCTGCAGAAATAAATATTTTACACAGGACTTCTTAAAGGAAATTCTCTTATCCACTCTGGGATTTTACACAATCCATTTTGACTGATTAAAAATCCATCCATCTATTGACCAGCATCCTGTTTACTTTTGATATTATTGGCCTAGCTAGCTAGAGAGCATGCTTTGTTTAAGTCCTTTTTTCTGAAACTGAAGACACCAAAGTCTTACCAAAATGTCACACCGAACGTGCAGCACTTTATATACAGTATGTTTCGTGTTCTGCTGAACGGATCTTGCAGTTTCTTAGTGATCCATAAGGTTTATTTTTGATTTACCGCTAACTCAGCAGTTCACTTCCTGACTGACAGGATGGCCTCATAAGTGCAATTACACTTTGGACGTATATAGTACTTTTCATTGGATAATCTGAAAGTGCTTGATGAAGAAAGGTCACTTTTATTATTGATTTGTAATGTGATAATGCACAGGGGCCTCAGTCACAGATCATTAGCTCTACTGTGCTAGGCACTGTACAAGCATATAACAGAAAGCTAGTCCCCACCCAGTTTACAGAAAAAGGAGGGACAGAAGTGATTTGCCCAGGGTCACAATGTGTTAGCGGTGCAGCGTTGCCAACTCTCATTTTGTCATAAGTCTCATTATCATTATTATTTTCCTTAAGCCCCAACTCCTGGTGTCAAGTAGATGTGGGATGATTTCAGCTTTCATTCTTAAAGAACAAGTATGTTTCTAGTCCTTGTGGCTGTAGAGAAAACTTCAAAATGTGACCCCCAGTATGCTCTAAAGGCTCAAAAAGCTGAACACCAAATCTATTATTTACATAACTGGGATTTTTAAAGCCAATCTCATGGTTTTTTGTGAGCCTGACTCATGATTTTTGAATATTTGGGGTTGGCAATACTGAGAACCAAAGTTTTAATCATGGCTGCTGCAATTCTGTAAATACGAAGGCAGGGGTGGGCAAACTTTTTGGCCTGAGGGCCGCATCGGGTTTCTGAAATTGTATGGAGGGCCAGTTAGGGGAGGCTTTGCCTCCTCAAACAGCCAGGCATGGCCAAGCCCCTGCCCCTTATCTCACCCCCCCCGCTTCTTGCCCCCTGACAGCCATCCCGGGACTCCTGCCACATCCAACCCCCCCCGTTCCCTGATGGTCCCCCCGGGACCCCTGCCCCATCCACCCCCCAACTCTCTTTCCCCGACCGCCCCCGGACTCCCCGCCCCTAACTGCTCCCCGCCACCCCATCTAACCCCCCTTCTCCTTCCTGATTGCCCCCCGGGACCCCTGTTCCATTCAACCCCCCTGTTCCCGGCCCTCTGACTGCCCTGACCCCATCCACACCTCCAGCCCCTCTATCCAACCCCCCTGCTCCTTTCCCCCTTACTGCGCTGCCTGGAGCACCGGTGGCTGGTGGTGTGGCTGCACCAGGACAGGTAGCTGTGCCGTGCAGCACAGAGCACTGGGTCAGGCCAGGAGCTCAGAGCCCCGCCACCCAGAGTGTTGCACGGGCAGCGCGGTGCACTCAGGCTGCGGGGGAGGGAGAACAGCAGGGGAGGGGCCAGGGGCTAGCCTCCCGTGCCAGGAGCTCAGGGGCCAGGCAGAACGGTCCCATAGTTTGCCCACCTCTGTACTAAGGGTACATCTACATTTAAAATGCTACACAGGCATAGCTGTGCCACTGTAGCACTTCAGTGTAGACATTGCCTATGCCGACGGGAAGTGTTCTCCTGTCGGCATGAATAAGCCACCTCCTCGAGAGGTGGCAGCTAGGGCAATGGAAGAATTCTTCCGTCAGCCTAGCTCTGTTGACACTGGGAGTTAGGTCGGCTTAACTACACCACTCAGGGGTGTGGATTTTTCATGCCCCTGAACAATGTAGTAAAGCAGACTTAATTTTCTACTGTAGACCAGGCCTAAGACACACTGCCTCCACCACACCAGTCTTCATTTTCTGGTTTTGGCCAAGCAGGCTACTGCAGGAGAGAAAGCTCTAACGTTGTATTTAGCCACTTTCGCTTGAGAACTGCTGCATCCCAAAAAACGTGTTCGCATTTGACCAGAAGCACGTTACACAAAAAATGAGGTGAAGAGATGAGATCGGCAGTCTTGAGGCTGTGTTACAAAATCTCCTCTGGCAGCGTCTAGTGACTGGAGAGGTTCCTCAAAGCCAAACCACTAGTTGAAGATGTTCTCAATATGAACTTGGTGCTTTTATTAGCAGATCTGGAGGAATGGTGGAGAGGAAAAAAAACTCTATACCTTTTAAGGGGACAACCATCTTCCCAAATGGAGAGGAAGTAGAGTCCATTCTGGAGGTTAAAATTGGCACCTTCCCAATCCCCTGAGAAGTATCTTTCTTCAACCCTTTCTTCAGGAACTTTCTACAGCCCTTAGACACTGGAGTGACGTGGGTCCCTTCACCCCCATTCCTTTGTTCGAAACAGTGCTACATATTTTTGGACGCTACAGCAGCCTTTTACAATTGGAAATTTTTGGCAGCATGATCAGGAAGGCCTGCCAGGAAGCCAGTTCCAAGACAACAGCATTCAGCAACAAATCTTCCTTTCAGTCCTTGGCTGGTTGGGAAAGTATTTCTCTCCACCTCTTAGCTCAGCTGTGACTGGTCAGCAGGTCTGAGTGTTTGAACCCAATGTTTGAGCCTGATACATAGTCAGGAGCTAGTAAGAGCTCTGGACATGGTGGTGAAAAATGAAAACAGAATTGATATATGTATTCTAGGGAGGATTACAAGTGGCCCAGGGGGAAAAAGCCCTGAAAACTTTCCATATGAAATGGGTCCCTCCTTCTCTGATGGGATTTTTTCTTCATCAGTGGAAGATCTTCACTCTAGGCAAAGTTTCACTACAAACAGAAACACAGTTCAAACACAGCAAGTGCATGGAAACAGTCTGGGTTCTTTTCTATTACACTTATAAATGGTTTCAGAGTAGCAGCCGTGTTACTCTGTATCTGCAAAAAGAAATGGAGTACTTGTGGCACCTTAGAGATGAACAAATTTATTTGAGCATAAGCTTTCGTGAGCTACAGCTCACTTCATCAGATGCATTCAGTGGAAAATACAGTGGGGAGATTTATATACACAGAGAACATGAAACAATGGGTGTTACCATACACACTGTAATGAGAGTGATCAGGTAAGGTGAGCTATTACCAGCAGGAGAGCTGGGGGGAAAAAACCTTTTGTAGTGATAATCAAGGTGGGCCATTTCCAGCAGCTGACAAGAACGTCTGAGGAACAGCCGGGGGATGGGCGGGGGGAATAAACATGGGGCAATAGTTGGAACTAACCTGCAAACTGAACACCATCAACCCAGGCCTGAACAAAGACTGGGAGTGGATGGGCCATCACACAAAGCAAAACCATGGAGTTTTACTAATTCAGCGTTCACCAGCAACTGATACAAAACCCACAACCTCAACTGTCTCAACCTAATGACACATTTTGCTTCCTCATTCTTGCCACCCCAATTATGGTGTACTTTTGCAAGAGTGTAGGAGCAGTCTCATCTGTTTAGATACTTACTCTGGTCATAAGACCTAGATTTTGCTGCAAACTTTAGGTTAGAATCAACTCAGTTTCAGAGTGAAACTGTCAATCCACCCCCATCCCCAAGTTTTGCCTCATTTGATGTCATAACTACTGTACAGGATTGAAATAACTTCATGCAAATACATACTAAAGAACCTTTTGATGGCCCTACTGAGAGTTGCTAATGAAACATGCAACCATGTGGCATTCACTCCAAAACTAGATACATTTTCTTGCAAATATTTTGAAGAGTTGTAATTGTTACATTATCCGACCAAATAAACTGTCTGCTTTACTGCTAGTTTTGATCCACACTGAATCTTTTAAGGGTTGGACATCTGGTAATCCTCTTTAAAAAAAATCTTATTGGCAGCAGTATGGCAGAGTGTATGGAAGGGGCTGGGGGAGAACCTGTAGCCATTTGGGTTAACCCAAAACCTGTTAAATAGGTTCAGAATTGAGATTAGTTCCCGGGCATAGTTCAAGAGCAAACAAGAAACAACAAGTCCAGCATGTGAGGCT